TGTTCTCACATTTTGTTACGGTTGGATGGGGGAGGGGGTGGAAGAGGGAGGGGGGGGGGGATTCCCTGTAGGTACATTTTCGTATGGGATACAGGTTGGACAACGCTTCACGGGGCCAGAGATGCGCACCAGACGGGGCCAGATATGCGCACCAGGATGATGTTTTTTTTTTGTGTAACGTTCAACTTCAATGGTGTAGTAGGATTCAGATTTTTCTCCGCCAAAAGTTTCATAATTGGTGGATGATCTTTCATGAACGGTGAATTTTAAAAATAATTTGTAAAAAAACAACACAAAAAAATTAACCAGACATTGTAACCGTGTTCCTTTGCGCCGTCATTTGGTTACCGGAAATTTGTTTGAACGAAATTTCGTCAATGGAACTTTGATCCGAACGTAAATTCGGTCGAATCTTTTTTTTTTTTTTTTCATTTCACACAATAAAATTTTTTTCATATCGACGACATCTTCAAGAGAAAAAAAAACGCGAAAAGCACAAATTTTAATTTCCTTTGCTCCGTCATTTGGTTACCGGAAATTTTTTTGAACTAAATTTCGTCAATGGAACTTTGATCCGAACGTAAATTCGGTAGAATTTTTTTTTTTTTTTTTCAGTTCACACGATAAAATTTTTGTCATATCGACGACATCTTCAAGAGAAAAAAAAACGCGACAAGCACAAATTTTAAACGTATGTAATTTATAGTTGTTCAGTTGCTTGAAGCAACCAAAAAACAAAATACATGACCATTATAAGAGAGGAACAAACAGATGAAACAATTAAAATTAGAAACCAAACTTTTGAAAAAGTAAATCAATTCAAATACCTAAGAGCCTTGTCAAATGAAAGAAACGAATTACTAACAGAAATAAAAGAGAGAACATCAGCCGGAAACAGGGCATACTTCAGTAGTCAGAAAATACTCAAAAGTAAAAACATTACAAGAGAAACAAAGAAAACTATTTATAAAACTGTGATTAGGCCAGTTGTAACATATGCAAGTGAAACTTGGACCCTAACAAAAACAGCAGAAAACCTATTAAATACATGGGAGAGGAAAGTTCTCAGGAAAATATATGGGCCAACAAAGGATGAATATGGATGGAGAATACGAACCAACCAGGAATTATACAATCTATATCATGATCCTACGATTGTGGCAGAAATAAAAAGAGGCAGGCTACGCTGGGCAGGACACCTAGAGAGAATGCCAAATGACAGATGAACGAAGAGGGTACATCACCAATACCCCAGAGGAAAAAGGCTCAAAGGCAGACCTAGGCTTAGGTGGATAGATGATGTAGAAAAGATCTACAGCAGCTGAAAGTCCAAGCATGGAAAAGAAAGGCATTAGTTAGGCCTGAGTGGAAGGAAGAAGTGAGGCAAAGCCCTACATGGGCTGTAGCGCCACAGGGATGGATGGATGTAATTTATAATTAAGTAAAGTTCACAAAGTTTTCTGAACCACGCTATAAGTATAGTTTTAAAAAGTGCACTGAACTTTACTGTAAGGAACTGTTGACAAAAGGTCAGAGGCGTAGCTAGGGAAAGTTCGGCTCGCGGCAGGCCAATATTTGTGGCCGCCCCCTTCCACGACAACAACTCTGTAGTTTGTCGAAGATGCCGCCTCTTCATATAAAGTAGAAAGCACTGCCCGGGCATGACCCCGTACCCCACCCGTTCCTTCGCCCCTGCAAAGATTGATGAACGGTTTTAGAAGCATACGTTTTAAATGAGTTTACTCCAATTATTTCTTTAGAATTACAATACCAGTAACCTATCGATTGAACTACCCTGTCTCTACTTTCGTTTAGAATTACAACACCAGTAACCTATCAATTGAACAATCCTTTCTCTATTTTCGTTTAGAATTACAATACCAGTATCCTATCAATTGAACAACCCTATCTCTACTTTCGTTTAGAATTACAACACCAGTAACCTATCAATTGAACAATCATTTCTCTACTTTTGTTCAGAAGTACAATACCAGTAATCTATCAATTGAACAATCCTATCTCTACTTTTGTTCAGAAGTACAATACCAATAACCTAATCAATTGAACTATGATTTCTCCATTTTTGTTTAGAATTACAATACCAGTAACCTATCAATTGAACTATCCTATCTCTATTTTCTAGAATTACGATACCAGCGGCGACGGTGTAAATGACCTACTTGGACTTCAGGGTAAAACCATCAAGGGAAAGGGACTTTTATCCATTTATTACAAGAAGCTGCTGGCGATCTCCTGTAGCGTGTATGGCTGCGACTGGTAAATTCTTGGATATGGATGGCTGTGGTGTGTGTTATGGCTGTCACTGGTCCACCATCTGAGATCAACGGCCAGCCAATCATAGATGATCACATTTATTCATATGTTACAGTTCTACACATTAGAATTATATACATCACTATGAGAACTTTTCTTTGAAATTATTCACTTATTTTATGATACAACTTTTCAAATTCATGGGTTCAATATCGGACGATGATGCATCTAAACGGACCATTGTTGAATATTTTGTCATATCAATGAGACCTAAACCCTAATAAATTTTCTATGTAGCCCAGTTGTAGAGTTGTGTTTCTTTTAGTTGTAGGGTTGTGTTTCTTTTAGTTGTAGAGTTGTGTTTCTTTTAGTATGAAAGGTTGTGTTTCTTTTAGTTGTAGAGCTCTATTTATTTACTTGTAGAGTTGTGTTTATTAACGTGTTTTCTTTTAGTTGACCCATCAGCAATTAACCTGTCTATGTTGAATGTTCGGTAAGACACTTCTATTACAAGGGGACGGCAGCCTTTCAGCCGTTCTGGTGTGCGTTCTTAAAGTAGTGTGTTCTTAAAGTAGTGTGTTCTTAAAGTAGTGTGTTCTTAAAGTAGTGTGTTCTTAAAGTAGTGTGTTCTTAAAGTAGTGTGTTCTTAAAGTAGTGTGTTCTTAAAGTAGTGTGTTCTTAAAGTTGTGTGTTCTTAAAGTAGTGTGTTCTTAAAGTAGTGTGTTCTTATGTTTTACATATAAATGACACACTGAGTTCCCACAAAAACGTAAAATTACATAACGACTGATTGTTTAGAAATTAAGTCCACGACCCTCTACAAATACGATGTATTTTACTTATCTCAATAAATTTAATTGTGTTGCAGCTGTATTGAAATCTTTTTACACAAAGTTGCCAGATTTCAGCTTGTTTTTTTTTTTCTCCCTACAAATAAAGAGAAAAGCTTTACCATACCACTTCGCCGTTCTTTCACACTTCACCTCACATCGCAACTTGGTACGTCGTCGTGGTGCTAAACGCACAAGGAATTTTATTAAGTTTTACCATGATGTTTTTAGCACGCGTTATATTTAGTAACACAGAAAATAATGAATTAAATGTTTCCCTGCCCCGTTTTGGAATGGGGAAGAAATGTAAAACTCAAAACATGAAGTAGTTGGCAAGGTGTCGCTAATTGTAGCATGATTTAGTAAGCATACTTCAATGAAATTCGGACTCTTTGAGTACAGAAAGCATTCCAATCTATCTACACATAATATAAGCTGACATCAAAATACTTTATACTATATATATATATATATAAATAATTGTCAAGATGTTGGCTTTATATTAACTTCGCTTGTGCCTGTGTGTTTCTTTCTGGCAAAATCTTCGGAATGCTAACTGGCCCACATCTCGCCATTCTATCGAGCTGAAACTTGGCACATAAGTTTGTGGCCAATGACAAAACATTTTTGCAAATTTTCAGCCCCACCACTTATCTCCAACCCCCACCTCCCCCCAAAAAAATAATAAAAATAAATCAGTGTCTGACAATAATATGAGTGAATGTCTGGCTGTTATATTTATTTAGGCATTTTTACATAGCGCTTACCTTAAAGCTCCTAGCGCTTTACAATACGGTAATATAAAATCATTTAAACTAAGTAAAATAAAAAATGAAAAACCAGAGACACTAGGATAGTAACTACTATACTATAGAAACAATTAAAATGGCTATAAAACCAGTACACTTTGGCACGTTTTGGCCTATACTACAGGATCAACCCGAGACAGAAAATGAGGCAGGGCAAGGAGGGTGCATCACAGGTCATAGACGGACCTAAACAGATGGGTTTTAAGGGACTTTTTGAAAGTGGACGAGGTTTCACAATGACGGGTGTGGAAGGGGAGACTGATTATAATAAGAGTAATAAGAGTCACTGTCTGTCTGACTCACTGACTATAACATTAGGGGGCTGTCTGACAATAATATTTGTCACTTTCTGATTATAATATGGGACTATCTGAATGTAATATGAGTGACTATCAGAATATAATACGAGTGACTATCCGTCTGTCTGACTCACTGACTGTCTGCTTATAATATGAGTGACTATCAGAATATAATATGAGTTTACTATCCGTCTGTCTGACTCATTGACTGTCTGCATATAATATGAGTGACTATCCGTCTGTCTGACTCACTGACTGTCTGCTTATAATATGAGTGACTATCAGAATATAATATGAGTTTACTATCCGTCTGTCTGACTCATTGACTATCTGCATATAATATGAGTGACCATCCGTCAGTCTGACTCACTGACTGTCTGACTTTAATGCGAGTGACCCTCTGACTCATGAACAGGTGAATCAGCGTAAATACACTTCGCTTTTGGCCACAACGGGCTTACATGACAAACGCTTACCAATTCTATCACAGTCCCACGAACATAATTCATAATTCATAATTCAACTTTTCATTTTGTCAGTTTACATAAGTTAAAAATCACATTCATTTTTTTTTTTGCAACAAAAATTTTTTAATCATCAGAAATCGATCTATCTACCGAGTCTAAGCTCATCAGCATTTCAACGGTGACACGTTAAACTCTTCTCACCAGCTAATCGTGTTAATCTGACCCGCGCTAATCCGTGGTCAATAAATGTGAAACGTTTCCCATGCCTGTAAACTGGTATAAAACCATGGAGTCTAGGATTTAGGGCTGTTTGCTGTTTGACTTGCAACGAGCCGCATCATGGACGCATCTTGTCTGCTGTTAGTCGCCGCCATCTTGGTTGGGGCTAATGCATTCTACCTCCCCATTTTTGAGTATTATCCTATTGTAAGTATCATGTTTCAATTGTACGTATAAGTTTTCTATTTTAAGTATCACGTTTCTATTGTAAGTATCATGCTTCTATTGTAAGTATCATGCTTCTAATGTAAGTATCATGCTTCTATTGTAAGTATCATGCTTCTAATGTAAGTATCATGCTTCTATTGTAAGTATCATGCTTCTAATGTAAGTATCACGCTTCTATTGTAAGTATCATGTTTCTTTTGTAAGTATCATGCTTCTATTGTAAGTATCATGCTTCTAATGTAAGTATCATGCTTCTATTGTAAGTATCATGCTTCAATTGTAAGTATCACGCTTCTATTGTAAGTATCATGCTTCTATTGTAAGTATCATGCTTCTATTGTAAGTATCATGCTTCTATTGTAAGTATCACGCTTCTATTGTAAGTATCACGCTTCTATTGTAAGTATCATGCTTCTATTGTAAGTATCATGTTTCTATTGTAAGTATCATACTTCTATTGTAAGTATCATGCTTCTATTGTAAGTATCATGCTTCTATTGTAAGTATCATGCTTCTATTGTAAGTATCACGCTTCTATTGTAAGTATCACGCTTCTATTGTAAGTATCATGCTTCAATTGTAAGTATCATGCTTCTATTGTAAGTATCATGCTTCTATTGTAAGTATCACGCTTCTATTGTAAGTATCATGCTTCTATTGTAAGTATCATGCTTCAATTGTAAGTATCACGCTTCAATTGTAAGTATCATGCTTCTATTGTAAGTATCATGCTTCTATTGTAAGTATCATGCTTCTATTGTAAGTATCATGCTTCTATTGTAAGAATCATGCTTTATTGCAAGTATCATGCTTCTATTGTAAGTATCATACTTCTATTGTAAGTATCATGCTTCTATTGTAAGTATCATGCTTCTATTGTAAGTATCATGCTTCTATTGTAAGAATCATGCTTTATTGTAAGTACAAATAGGTACAGGTAGGTATGATGTTTCAGCTTTCTTATCATTAATGACTAATGACTAATGGTGTCGATGTTTATTTGTGGAAGGCTTGATCATAAACGCCCCTCAGTCTCAAACAGCAAATGATGACGTTACAATTTTGAGAGTGTTTCCCTCAAGTGTGACGATGTCAAGTGACCACCCCTAAAGGTTTGAGATGACATGGTTGGCTCACTTTCAGAGCTGCAAGGTCCATTTCTAGTGTTGCTATTTTTTTTTTGTTGGCCTTGGAGTTGTTGCAGTTGTGGAGGAATGCGACAACTTGCTATTGTCGTTGATGCTATTTTTTGTCATCGTTGATGTTATTTGATGTTATCGTTGATGTTATTTGATGTTATCGTTGATGTTATTTGATGTTATAAATGATGTCATTTGACGTTATTATCGTTGATGTCATTTTATGTTATCGTTGATGTCATTTTATGTCATCGTTTTTGTCATTTTATGTTATCGTTGATTTCATTTGACGTTATCGTTGATGTCATTTTATGTTATCGTAGATGTCATTTTATGTTATCGTAGATGTCATTTTATGTTATCGTAGATGTCATTTTATGTTATCGTTGATGTCATTTTATGTTATCGTTGATGTCATTTGACGTTATCGTTGATGTTATTTGACGTTATCGTTAATGTCATTTGACGTTATCGTTGATGTCATTTTATGTCATCGTTGATGTCATTTTATGTTATCGTAGATGTCATTTTATGTTATCGTTGATGTCATTTTATGTTATCGTTGATGTCATTTGACGTTATCGTCGATGTTATTTGACTTTATTGTTGATGTCAGTTGATTTTATCGTTGGTGTTATTTGACGTTATCGTTGATGACATTTCATGTTATCGTTGATGTCATTCGATGCTATTGTTGATGACATTTGATGTTATCGTTGACCTCATTTTGATGTTATCTCTGATATCATTTGATGTTATCGTTGATGTCATTGTTCCAATGACTTTACATGCTAACCGTTGCTTTCGTTTTTCCCTTTGTTTTGTATCCTCCAGTTATTCTTTGTAAAGGTGTTGGTTGTTAAAGGTGGGGCTGTTATTGTTCTTATATTTTTATGTTTTGGAGCTTGACCAGGGGGTAGAGAATGAACAGTTTGGCAACAACGTGACATCCTCTGTTCTCAAAATCAGACGACGTAAACCTCCCTCTCCCCCCCCCCACACTGGGCCCATCCAAACCCCATTGCGTGAAGCTTGCTGGCACGACAACCCTCTGACAGCACCATTCTATCTTTTAATGGTTTCATAACTCTGGTGTATTCACTGATTTGTCGACACCAGTTCGACTAAGTTAAATTTCTTTTAATCTGACTAAACACCTCCTTCACAGTTGTATCGGTGAGGAGAGGAGGCCGATGTAGACACGACCGACCCCCCCCCCCCCCACACACACATTTTTTAAGAATATAAAATTTCACGTGACATTGACAAATGAAAAACTTTTCTTTCAAAAACGAGCAATGCAAAGAATGACAACTGGGGTTTTAATTACGAGTGTTGATTTTAATCTAGTTATCTCCACCTGTTGGGCAGACCAGCCGACTTACACTAACCCAGCGTTCACAAGTTGCTCTCCTCCCCCCCTCCCCCCTTAGCCTTATAGTATCTGTCTAGTCCCCCTTTTCTATCTGGGTTCAACCTCTGGGAGCCGCAGACGGCGGCTAACGCCAAGGGCTCCTTTTGCTTCTCTCACACACCTTATCACCGGGAATTAAGTTGTATCCATCTTTTCCTGTAGTTTTAGACTCGGAAATTTTTTTAAAAAACGTATTTTTTTCTGTATAAATGAGTGCTTACTTCGGTGATAAAAGTATTACCATAGTACTCAACGCAATTTGTTATTAGTGTTTGTCGTTTAATGGTGGAAATCTATTAATTTAACACTCGGGCAAATACTCTGGCCAATCTCATTAAGATATGAATAAACATCCGGGTATTCCATGTGGCCAATCTCTCAACAGCTGTTCGGTACGTCTACGTTACTGTGAACCGGCGTAGTGAGTCTTAACCTAGACCAGTGGTCGGCAAATCGCGGCTCGCGAGCCACAAGCGGCTCTTTAGCGACCTGAGTGCGGCTCGGCCACAAAACGGTTTTTGATATTCCGAAAAAACATGGTTCTTGACTGGCTCTTGAAAAAAGAAATTTAGCTCTTAGAAATTTTTTAATGGTCCTGCTGTTGATTTTTTGTGTGGCTCTTTTGACTAATGAGTTGGCCGACCTCTGACCTAGACGAGAACGTGTTGACAACTTTATTTTCCGAAAGATTTTACCAGAACATTTGTTACAGGTATTGATGTGCGGAAATGCATTCATTGAAAGTGTTTAACGAAAACGTTGTCTAAAAATAGTAACATTACTAAATGCGCTGTGACGGCTTCCGGTCTTAGAAATGATAAAACCTAATTTTAAAAATGGCGCATTCATCGGATATTAAACATGAAAGCTTCACAATTTTATGCTGTTGGCCTTTTTTTTTTTTTTTTTAATACGAAGATCAGCGATGAATTTTGAAGAGAAAAAATATCCAAGAAAAATTCCAACTTCTGGCAAAAAAAATGGCGATCACATCTATTTCGCAAAAACACCTTCTGAGATGATTGTCTACCCTATTTTCCATTTAATGCATATTGGCTGTGTTGCTTAGGGTTGAAATGGGTAAAAAGACTTTGACTTGGTTTGCTTGTAATTAGTTTTTGTAGTGTTGCGTTTGTTTTAAATGTGGTAAATTATATTTATTTATTTATTTTTTTTTTTTTTACTTTTGTACCGCGCTTCGAGCGTTTGGGGATCAAGCGTGTTTTTGAAATAAACTTTATTATTATTATTAGTATATGTTTTTCACTAGTTTCTATTTCTTGTTGTATTTTCATTCGTCCTCTCTGCCGAAGAAGGCTCTTGGCCGAAACGATCTTTATTTGTCCTATCTTTCGATTCAAGCTTCCACACAACCTTGTTCTACTATGTCCTTTACATAGCGTGAACGCAGTCCTTTATTTATTATCGTATAAACTTAGACGACAGACTATTTCACCGAAGTAACAAGTCTCCCATTTCTTCGAATCTTTTTTTTTTCCCATTACGTTAGGTCTACAACTGATACTTGTAGTGACGTCACTTGGTTTGTATGTTAGAGACCTTACCTGTTATGAGTTTCATGTGTGCCTTCTGCGGTGATATTTAATCATCCTTTATGCAAGGTCAATGTCATCTGGTGAAGACCTGTTCAATAAAAAAGAAATAAAAAAAGGTTATCAATTTTCCCCATGACTTTCTGTGCAGAATTTTTAGTAGAATCATCACTTTCAAGGTTGTATGTTTAGTTTCAGAATCCCTACCATCCCTACCAGCCCTACCAACACAAGAGGTACCAGGCGAACTACTTGAGCGCCCCGATCTCCAACTACCAGCAAGGCTATGCGGTTCAATCGCGTGGCAACAATTACCAGAAAGGTTACGATGGGGACGACTACCAGCAGAATTACCAGGGCAGCAACGCTTACCAGCCAAATCACCACGGCGACAACTATCAGCAAAACTACCCGGGCAAGAACTACCAACAGGGCTACCCAAACAGCAACTACCAGCTACACAAAGGCGACAGCTATCAGTCAAATTATCCCAATAACAACTACCAGGCCAACTACCCAACCGACAACTACCAGGCCAACTACCCAACCTACAACTACCAGGCCAACTACCCAAAATACCCAACCGACAACTACCAGCCAAATTACCCAAACACCAACAGATACCTTGCTGGGAAATACCAAGGAGACCAAGAAGACACCTACCCTAACTAGGATGTTCAACAAAAAGATGGCTACAAGGTGACATTATAGTTATATCATACTCATTAAATCTCCCTCCTTCTAATTCTAATCTCTGTCTGTCTCTCTTTTAGTCTCTCTCCTGGACACTGTAGCTGCTCTGTCTACCTCTGTATTTCTTTCCATCGCTGTGTGCTGTTAAATCCAGATCTCTATTTCTCTCTCTCTATTTCTCTCTCTCTATTTCTCTCTCTCTATTTCTCTCTCTCTATTTCTCTCTCTCTATTTTTCTCTCTTTCTATTTCTCTCTCTCTCTCTTTCTCTCGGTATCTCTCTCTCTATTTCTTCCTCTATTTCCCTCTCTATTTCTCTCAATATTTCTCTCTCTATTGCTCTCTCTCTCTCTCTCTCTATTGCTTTTTTTTCCGATTTCCTCTAATTCTCTGGTTTGGATGACTTTAATCGAATGATTTATATTATCTGAATTATTTAGAAGTTTATTTCGCCAAAACTTAGAACGGCCTGGAGTGCACAAAAGCTAGAACAGCCTGAGATTCCAAAACTAAGAACTGCCTGGGGCGCCATCTATCTATCCATCCATCCATCTAACTATCCATCCATCCATTTTTCCATTCATCCATTCATCTATCTATCCATATCAATCTATCCATACATACATCTATGCATCTGTCCATCCATCAAATCAAATCTTATCCATATATCCATCCATCCATCCATCCATCCATCCATCCATCCATACATACATCCATCCATCCATCCATCTATCTATCTATCCATCTATCTATCCATCTATCTATCTATCTATCTATCTATCTATCTATCTATCTATCTATCTATCTATCTATCTATCTATCTATCTATCTATCTATCTATCTATCTATCTATCTATCTATCTAAGGAAGTCTTAACCCTTTCCTATTTTGAAAATTAAATTTTCGCTTGTGTAAAATGATGGCTTTTGATATTCATGGGTAGAATTGTGTAAATGTACTTACGTTGTGTTAACGTCATTTATTTTCTTGATTGGTAAAATAAGAATACATGTATATCTTTTATTTTTGACAACTTTAATATCATTGGATTTAAAGACATTGTCATCCACGTAAAATTGTGCACACCCTATTTCTTACCGCCGATATTTATGTACTTAAGAAGGTTAATCATTTGTTAAATTCATTCTGAGGTGTATCTTGGGCTTCTTTGGGCTATTGAAACTATCCTTTATTCCCCCCCCCCCCAACCCAAACCAAACAGTTTTTTTTTTTTTAAAATTATCCACGATATTGTAACTCCCTTACTTATGCAACAACAATTTTTTGTTTCATCTCACATGCGTTGTTCTTATTTGGATGAGTGATAAGTGCCTTAGTGAATTCTATTTGGATATGCAGTTTCGCTGCACTGATCGCATTAAACGGTATTTTCCTATTAAAAGTATATGTAAAGGTTAAGTTTTTTACTACTTTATAAGTTTCATAATTTTTTTTTAGAAAGAATAAAAAGTAAAAACTTATTAAATGTTAAAAATATCAAGCTAAAGTTCTATTTGATTTAATAAAATGTTAGCAATTTAACAAGCCATCAATTATTTTTATTTTATTTTACTTTTAAGAAGGGGAAATATATATTATCAGTTTTGTTACGCACTGGTTATAAAATCAAAGAAACTTAGAGCTGTGGCTAAAATAGGCAATCACGCGAAGACGTCATTTGCGTAATTATTTAGATCAAATTAATTTTATTGTTATTTCCCAATTATAGAACGCACTAAAATACGCACTAAGAATAACAGATGTTTGGTTTTTCCCGATAAATTTGATTAAGATGCATTTCTTAGATGATAATATTTTGATTAATAATTTTTTTCATAACTTTTACATTGGGATAAAATGCTTAAAATAGTTCCTTATTTGATACTTTAAATATATTTGTAATTTATAATACTAGTACTTAAACTTTTGCTAAAATAAAAGCGGATTTAAAATATTTTTTGCGCATTTAAATTTATTCGATTACCGTAAAATAATAGAAAATAACTTTTATTGTTTTTAGGAATCCGAACGTACTTAAATCGTATCGGTTCTTTGGCGTTATGTCACCATAGCTCATTCTTATGTATTTATACACGGTCCCTTACCTGTCTGCAGGATTTAAAAAAAAAAAATATTTATTTTTTTTAAAATAGCAACAAGCAGATAAATTGAGTACCGAATAATTGAAGCAGGATGAATAAGTGCTCTCAGTCGGTCAAACACAAAAATTTGAGAAGCACCGTGAAAGAGGGATCTCAAACGACCACTTGGGAGAAAAAAAAAAGGGGGGGGGGCTATTTTCTGGGAGAAAAGATCGAGTAGATGGGTTACGCTTCAGTATCATTGATCGATGCCACGGTTTGGCTTAGTAGTAAACATGGATTGGATGACAATACCGTGATTTGAAAGGAAAGAAAAACTATTTATATTAATAAGAAGACAATTTTTTTTTCTTTTAAAAAAAAAACATATTATTGGGTCATTTTTTTTTTTAAATTGTCCCTACTAAACTTTTTGGAATCGGGTTTTAAAACAACAAACATGTTGTGGTTTTTTTTTTGGAAAAAAATGAGTCAATCAAAATGAATCACGTTAAATAACCTTTGGAGTGACTTCATAAACCGATTTTTCCTTTTTTCTTCTCCAGGCAATTGTTGCAGATTAGGGTCATTGAAGTGTCCACAAGTTCGATTTGTTCTTGTTTTTTGTTCTTGTTTATTTATTTTTTTCGTTGTCCCTCTAACTGAACATTAAATTTCCCTTTGGCGTTGTTCTTTCATTCAATGTTAATGTTATTTCTATGTGTTTCTTGTTGTTGTTTTTTTTATATTTATTTTGTTGGATTGTTGTTTTGTTGTTTTTTTTTTTCAATATTTTTTAGTCTTTCATACACCCATAGAACTTCATGTCCTGTGGATGGAAAGTATACTTACTCTAGGCCTAGTCACTGTTACACTGTTAAACAACTTCTGCAACTCAGATTTACCAATGTGATAGCCTTACACGGCGCGCTATGTCAGCGCGACACGTTGTGTCTAATATGATAACGTCCAGAGTTTAACATCGTTTCAGTCCAGCTCCCCCTGGCCTCCAACCCCCCCTCCCTCTCCAATAAATTTGAACTGTGTAAGTCCTCGGTATACCGTTATGAGTCTGTGTGTCAGGCCTTGCGCCTGCGCATCTAAGACAGATCGTCTTTTATTTTAAGGGGGGGGGGGGGGGGGGGGGGGAGAATGGGGGGGGGAGAGGAAGGGGGGGTGGGGAGGGGGGGGGGAAATATGGGGGGGAGAAAAGTATGGGGGGAGAAAAGTATGGGGGGGGATGATGATGATGTATCCAATCTGAGAACGCGTTATTAATTGTCTGGATTGAGCAGGGAACGGAGCTCCGATCCTTATGACGAGTGTTTTGGCCGCAAAGCCAACCCCGTCGCTCGATCACCTGTCAGTAAGAGCTAAAACTTACCATAATTTTAAAATTATAGCCTTACTAAATATTCCTATTTTGAATGATCACACGATATAATAATTTAATTTCTTGAAAAGTGCGAAACAAGTTTTTAATCAAATTATTTTTGAAGAGTCAACAACACCCTAACCATTTTTTAAAAAATGTCAATTCTGTGTATTATTGAAATAGTAAACAAAATTACCAAGTCCACGGTTTAAGGAGGGGGAGGGGGTGTAAACGCCCCTGATTTTAGACACACAGAGTATTTTTGATATAACAATCACAAGTACTGAGTTTTGAAAAATAGTTGTTTCTTCTCTAAATTGTGGAGCTCCTGAGATGCTCAGCAGAGATTACCAAGGACCCTTTATAACCATCTCCCCCCAATCCCTCAACGTATTTACATAAAGGATTAAAAATCAATTACCCAGTGGTGGAGGGAGGGGTGTGGAGAGGGACGATGTGCCCAGGGCGGCCCTTTTACCTCCTGGAGGGACGATATTTTCGGCCAACTTCAGAATTTTTATTCCGTGAAAGGGCAAGGGCGGAGGGGCGACGAAAAAAATCTTGACCCGCCCTGGGCGGCATTAACCATCGCTACGCCACCTTCTATGACCACACAATTAAATAACAGATTTATCTGACCGATACCATTGTAGACTGCGTGAGAACTGTCCAAAAAAAAATAGTTCCGTATAGTATTTTTTATTAAAAAGTCTGATGACATCCCAAAAATAGGCTCTTCAACTTATTTAAGAGATCAACATCCCGATGTGTATCATGATCATCTCTGCTCGGGGTGTTAACGCAGGGAACAACAACAAGATGACACCATGTGCTCAAGAAAATATCATCAACAAGAATGAGAAGAAGAATGTCGCTGTGAGGGAGAATTAGAAAGGGAATCCCACTGCGCATGTCAGTGTGCTGCTTAAAATAGTGACAACATCGAACATATGCACGCCATATAGACACGCTGTTGCTCGCCTCTGACACCTGACATATAGACACCCTGTTGATCGTATCTCACACCTGACATATAGACACCCTGTGTCTCTTATCTGACACCTGACATATAGACACCCTGTTGCTCGTGTCTGACACCTGACATACAGACACCTGTTGCTCTTATCGGACACATGACATATAGGCACCATGTTGTTCGAATGATACACATGACATATAGACACCATGGTATTCATATTTGACACTTGGCAAAGAGGCCTTATGTTTATTCATACCTGATAAATCTACATCACATACAGGCCTCAACTTTTGACATAGTCACCGATGAGACTAGGGAATCTTATATTTTTAAAAAAGCAAAAAAAAAAAAAGAAGAATTCCCCTTCTTTTTTTTTTTAAAGTCTTAAACTGTGTCCTCTTGTCCTCCAAATGCGTGGGGATCCCTGTAGAGCGCCATTTTGTCTCACTCATGTAACAAGAAGACACCGTGAGAATCGAAGTGCTTTAGGCGACACATCAAACCGTCTCAGTTCAGGGTCAAGGTGGGGGTCTAAGATTTCCTTGATTCAAAATTTAGCATTAATCTCTTTCTTTCCAGGTAGAAATTCATTTTTTTTTTCAAAAGTATTTTAAGAAATGTGTAAGACACTCTTTCCAAGTCGAAATAAAAATTGCGGGTGGGGGGAGGGGATTGTTACGAATTATTTTGAACGGCCAAATAAAGATGAATTTTACATCTTTAAATTCTTTGGAATGCCAAATTATGTTCTGCTTCTAATTTTATCCATTCGCATGACGCCCCTTCTGCTTCAGTACCCGTATCTACCCCCCCCCCCTTTTTTTTCTACAAGTCGACTCGTCTGTAACCTACACATGCAACAACTAAAACCATTCGCGAGAATAACATATACTTAATGTTTACTTCCATTTTCCCAGGGACCACATTTGTATATCAAATAATATAACAATACAACACCTCTAGAGGTGTGGTGTGTAGGTGTCCACAAGGGTGTTCCCACTGTTCTTACCCCCCTCCAACCAACCTCTCCGAACTCGTATGGTTTCGTTGCAAGGCAGTTTTGTCAACACCTTTCTCTAAGAAGTCTTAGTATCTTCAGTCTTCATTCAAGCTAGAGACATGGAGGCTAAGTTTTTTGACATAAGTAGACATCCAAGCTAGTGACATAGTTGCTAAGTTTTTTGACATAAGTAGACATCCAAGCTAGTGACATAGTTGCTAAGTTTTTTGACATAAGTAGACATCCAAGCTAGAGACATTTTCACTAAACTTCTTTTTTTTATTTTCCTTAAGAAGACTTATCGTACAAACTTACAATCCCTCGTTTCTAATAACTAGTTGCCAGTGTATTACTTCTCTGTTACAGTGTGTTAGGAAGGGCATATGTTGTGTTAATAAAATAAGCTAAATAGTAAACATAATTAAAGTACACGAACTCTTGGTTCCCCCAAGGGCTGATGGATTTTACGGCTCTACATTTTCGATGTCCGTGAAAAAACAAATAAAACCCTACACCCCCTTCCTTCCCCACCCCCTACCCCCATACGTGGTGGATTTACATACTTTTAAAACAAAAGTGATGTCCTAATGGCGGTCTAAGGATTAAAACGGCTTAAACGAAAAGCAGTTTGTTTTTTTTTTATGCAAACATTTAGGACTTAAATAATAACAATGAAGGAGGTAGACTGCATACATATGTGATCAAGGGGATTAAAAATATTAATGAGAAAATCTTTCAAAATACCTGAGACTTTAAAGAAACCAATAAAAATTGTTATTCAAGATATTTCCATACTTTATCAATAGGTTCGAAAGCTTCCCCAACGTCTGAACTAACCTAGCAAGGTGAAGGCCAAATCTGAAACGAAAACACACAAAAATATCTGGACTTCATCTTCTTTATAAACTGGCTGAATTGACGTAGCGTTTTAAAGAGCTTTCGGAATGCATTCGACGGCGTTATGCCTCTTAGATAGTGTCCCTTCGTTAATTTATTAATTAGAACGTGTTCCTTCCGTCAGACATGCGTACTCCAGCCTTGCTCTCAGGGGGAAGAGAGTGGTTTCTGTTGGCTCTTCGGGGTCCTTGCAGCTTTTCCGAGCAAATTCTGTTCGCTGAGACCAGGAGAATAATCATGGGAGTGGGTGCGTCCTTGGTTGTTTTGGTTGATTAAGACTTTCAGACGGAGGGTCCTTTTGATTGTCTCGCTTTTCAGGCTTTCCCCATGACCTGTGATTTGGCTGATAGAGCCTTTAAGACGGAGTCCTTTTGATTGTCTTGTCTCGCTGTTCGGGCTCACACGTGCCCTGTTCATTGGCTGATAAAGGCTTTCGGGCGGAAAGTCATTTTAATTGTCTTGTGTTGCTGTTCGGGCTTTCACACGCCATGCTTTTCCTACCTCGTGGTTGAGACTAGAATTTCTCACTTGTAGGATCTCTTAGGTTTGTGCAGTCTTGAAGGCTTGTTTGGTGTTCATCTTCACCTATCACAAAACGGATCACTTCTTTGACATGCGATTGCTCTTTTGTCTGGCGTTCGGCCTAAACAATAAAATTACCCCACAGCCTGATCACGTGCTACAAGTGTCAGATTTTTCCAATCCTTTTCCGGGTCATTAGCCGCGAGGGAGGGATAATCCACAAGATACTGTAACGTGGTCGCGATGATATCTGTCAAAAGATACATACTGAATGAAGGCCATTTACCTGGCGTTAGTTCCGTGTGAACGAGGGTAATCCTAACACCTGTGACCCGGACCAATCACCATCAGCGACGTATTAAGAGATGTGAGTAAAATAGCTTCTGGTGCCAGCAATGTTTCACCGTCACGATAATTGGATCCCGTCACCAAAGCTCGTCTTAAATCTCAGACACATACCCTCTCCACCCCAACCCCCAACTCAAAACAAAAAAAAAGAAAAGAAACCTACAGAGATCCCAAAACACCCCCTTTTATCAAGTTTTTCCAATACATTCAGCGCCCCCAGTCCCACAACTTTTTTTTTAATATAAAAATTGTTATTAGTGTTCATGAACGACTCATTTGAAAGTACGTTCATCATGTACATTGAAATGTTTGAAAATAAAGTTCATTTCATCTCTCTCCCTCAACTTTCCGTGTTTGTCTCTCTCTTCCTCTTTGTCTCTCAATATCACATTGTCTGTCCATCTCTCTCTCTCTCTCTTTCTCTGTTGATTTTTTTTTTTGGGGGGGTGGGGGGGGGGGTAAATTAAACGCAACACCTGTAGTCCTGGACATTAGTTTTGTGTTTGACGTCCCGGTACCACTGAATTCACCTGGCATCATCAAGCTTCCTATGGGGTCCTCTCCCCCACCCACCCACTGCATGACGTCATTTGTTAACAACACCTTATCGCCGATTGGTCAATTTGTTAAAATATTTACATTAGACCCTTTTTATTTTCAATGCTAACGAATTATTTATTGGTTAATTATTTTTGGTTGCTTTTTTGTTTTATAATTACTTTAATTGTTTTATTCTGTGGTAGGTCGGCAAAGATGACCCAATTATTGATTAATCTGTATAATTATTAATTAATCTGTTAAATAACAGGTGCTTTGCGATACGAATTTATTTGGTCTATGTGTGCGTGTGTGTGTGTGTTTGTTTCCGTGTGCATGCTTTTGCGTATGTGTGTGCGTTTGTGTGTGTGTGTGAGAGAGAGAGAGAGAAAGTGAGAAAGTGAGAGAGAGAGAGAGAGAGAGAAAGAAAGAGAGATAAAGAGAGGGAGAGACGGAAAGAGAGAAAGATTGAGAGAGAGAGGGGGGGAGAGAGAGAGAAAGATAAAGAGAGCGTATGTTGTTGATTTCTTATATTTAAAAAAAGACAATGTGAGCTAGTCCAGCCTTTGTTGTTGCCTATGGCTCGGCCACTCAAGTTGAACCCTTCAATCAAAGTTCGATGATCGCTATCGACATGTCCCCTTCGGGCCCAGGTGCATATCATCGGTGAGGAAACCTGCGCAGTGACCCCGGTGCGCATCACTTTCTGACATCCATGATTTCATGAGCCGGAACTGCAGTCGTAATAATTTTCTCTGAATACGGTTGGACAAAAGGAATCGGAGCACAAAATAGGTATCGGTAGCACGTCATCATGCCACCCCCCACCTCCCCCACCCACCCACCCACACACACCCAAACACACACCGACACACACGCCTAATAGTATCCGGATACTTGTCAGAGATAACACAAGACGTCAAGTTCTTGGGTCGTGGTCTAGATGAGTATATAAAGCAGTGCGGCGACGTACAGGGTACAGTTGTAACTTACGACCGTCTTTAGAACGACTCTGCTGTTTTTTTCGTCATGGCTCTCTCTGTGCTCACTTTGCTTGCAGCCATCTGCATTGTCGCAAATGCGCAGTACGGCGTAAGTACTTCGACACTTGACCATACATATGCTCAAGGTCTTCGTCATTTAACTGTAAATAAGTAATTCATCATTAGACTCTACATAAGTGCTTCAGCATTTGACTATACATAAGTACTTCATCATTAGACTCTACATAAGTGCTTCATCATTAGACTCTACATAGTGCTTCAGCATTTGACTATACATAAGTACTTCATCATTAGACTCTACATAAGTGCTTCATCATTAGACTCTACATAAGTGCTTCAGCATTTGACTATACATAAGTGCTTCATCTTTTGACTCTACATAAGTACTTCATCATTAGACTCTACATAAGTGCTTCAGCATTTGACTATACATAAGTACTTCATCATTTGACTATACATAAGTACTTCATCATTTGTCTATACATAAGTACTTCATCATTTGACTATACATAAGTACTTCTTTATCATTTGACTATACATAAGTACTTCATCATTAGACTCTACATAAGTGCTTTAGCATTTGACTATACATAAGTACTTCTTTATCATTTGACTATACATAAGTACTTCATCATTGGACTCTACATAAGTGCTTCACCCTTTAAGTATACAAAACGTTCTTCATCATTTAAATTTAGAGAAGTAGTTCATAATTTAACTACATAATGTGCATGTATAAGTACTTCATCCCATATACGTGACAATGCGTCGTCCCTTAAATGTGTGTGATTATTTTTATTTTTTTAAGTCAGCACACCCATTTTTAAAAATCAGAAACTATTCATCAGAAATTGTGCCTCTTTGAACAGTTCACTAGATTAATTTTCAACTGTTACGGAGAAATACCTTTTTCAAAACTCAATTGCAGTATAGATGTACTCATGGGCCATAAGATTATCCGCCCCTGAGCATTCTCAACATTGAAAAAATGATAGATTTAGTGGGGGTGAATCTGGGTTGATTAAAATGAACTATCAGCGAGGCTAGAATATAATGGTGTAGACTCATTGTAAGGATGTCACAGTTTTGTTTCCGAATCATCGAAATAAATCCGGAACAGAAAGTTTGATAAGCAGACATCTTTAGTGCTTCAGAGTACGGTTGATATTATCAACAAAAAGAAAACATTTAAAGTAGTAAATTTCACGTATTTCTAGACTCATTGATATTACATATTTAAAAAAAACTATGACACTATGATGACGATAATATCTAAGAAGCGATTAAGTTTGGGTTTTTTCTTAATATTTTAAATATATTTTTAAAAAGAAGTACAGCTATTGCAAGGGATTTAAGAATTCGAATGGCGTTGGGGCGCCTTTTGTTGGTTAAGTCCGGCCATGGCGCAAACACTTCAAAATGGTTTCAATTTTTTTTCCCCCTCATCATACTTACATAACTTCTCGCAAGAGGGAAATCCTGTTTGTATTTTCAGATTAGAAGTTAATGCCCGGCACTGATCTCAATAATAATCTTAGGGATTTTTCAACTTATTAAATGACATGAGATCCGATCTGAAATTGAAATATTTTAATTTAAACACTGGAAACAAAAAGTGATGCTTTGCATGACTGGAAGCTTGTTTTAAACATAAGAGGAGTGGGGAGGGTATTAATTTTACAAACACTTGCTACGGATAAATCACATCATTTTAATTAAGTTATATTTTTAGACGATCTCATTATAATTTATTTTTGTATACATCGATCATCTTTCAGTACCCCGCTGTAGATTCATACAAGGCAAAAGACACGAACAGTTACCAGAGAAAGCCTTTAAACTACCCAAGCAAACCGTCTCTTTACCCAAGCAGCCCGTCTGTTTACCCAAGCAACCCATCTGTTTACCCAAGTAAACCATCTGTCTATCCCAACACCCCATCAGTTTATCCAAGCAGTCCATCAGTTTACCCCAGCAACCCATCAGTTTACCCAAGCAACCCATCAGTTTACCCCAGCAACCCATCAGTTTACCCCAGCAACCCATCTGTTTACCCAAGCATCCCATCAGTTTACCCAAGTAACCCATCAGTTTACCCAAGCAGCCCATCAGTTTACCCCAAGAACCCATCTGTTAACCCAAGCAGACCATCAAGCTATGATAAAGAACCTCGAATTGATTACGCTAATAGAAACCCAAGTTATTTAAAGTCTTTATCAAATTATGTTGAAGAGGATGAAAGTACTACTAAATCGACTTTAGTGTATCCAAGCAACCCATCAGTTTACCCAAGCAAACCATCTGTTTACACAAGCAATCCATCAGATTACCCAAGCAATCCATCAGTTTACCCAAGCAACCCATCGGTTTACCCTAGCAACCCATCAGTTTACCCAAGCAACCCTTCAGTTTACCCAAGTAAACCATCAGTTTACCCAAGCAACCCATCAGTTTACCCAAGCAACCCATCAGTTTACCCAAGCAGCCCATCAGTTTACCCAAGCAAACCATCAGTTTACCCTAGCAGCCCATCAGTTTACCCAAACAGCCCATCTGTTTACCCAAGCAACCCATCAGTTTACCCAAGCAAACCATCAGTTTACCCAAGCAACCCATCAGTTTACCCAAGCAACCCATCAGTTTACCCAAACAACCCATCAGTTAACCCAAGCAGCCCATCTGTTTACCCCAGTAAACCATCTGTTTACCCAACAAGCCCATCAGTTTATCCAAGTAACCCATCAGTTTACCCAAGCAGCCCATCAGTTTACCCAAGCAACCCATCAGTTTACCCAAGCAAACCATCAAGCTATGATAAAGAACCTCGAATTGATTACGCTAATAGAAACCCAAGTTATTTAAAGTCGTTATCAAATTATGTTGAAGAGGATGAAAGTACTACTAAATCGACTTTAGTGTATCCAAGCAACCCATCAGTTTACCCAAGCAAACCATCTGTTTACCCAAACAGCCCATCAGTTTACCCAAGCAACCCATCAGTTTACCCAAGCAATCCATCAGTTTACCCAAGCAACCCATCTGTTTACCCAAGCAAACCATCAGTTTACCCAAGCAACCCATCGGTTTACCCAAGCAACCCATCAGTTTACCCAAGCAACCCATCAGTTTACCCTAGTAACCCATCAGTTTACCCAAGCAACCCTTCAGTTTACCCTAGCAGTCCATCAGTTTACCCAAGCAACCCATCGGTTTACCCTAGCAACCCATCAGTTTACCCAAGCAACCCTTCAGTTTACCCTAGTAAACCTTCAGTTTATCCAAGCAACCCTTCAGTTTACCCAAGCAAACCATCAGTTTACCCAAGCAACCCATCAGTTTACCCAAGCAACCCATCAGTTTACCCAAGCAACCCATCAGTTTACCCAAGCAACCCATCAGTTTACCCAAGCAACCCCTTCAGTTTACCCAAGCAAACCATCAGTTTACCCAAGCAACCCATCAGTTTACCCAAGCAACCCATCAGTTTACCCAAGCAACCCATCAGTTTACCCAAGCAACCCATCAGTTTACCCAAGCAACCCATCAGTTTACCCAAGCAGCCCATCAGTTTACCCAAGCAACCCATCAGTTTACCCAAGCAGCCCATCAGTTTACCCAAGCAACCCATCAGTTTACCCAAGCAACCCATCAGTTTACCCAAGCAACCCATCAGTTTACCCAAGCAGCCCATCTGTTTACCCAAGTAAACCATCTGTTTACCCAAGCAGCCCATCTGTTTACTCTAGCAACCCATCAGTTTACCCTAGCAACCCATCAGTTTACCCAAGCAACCCATCAGTTTACCCAAGCAACCCATCAGTTTACCCAAGCAACCCATCAGTTTACCCAAGCATCCCATCAGTTTACCCAAGCAACCCTTCAGTTTACCCAAGCAGCCCATCTGTTTACCCAAGTAACCCATCTGTTTACCCAACCAGCCCATCAGTTTATCCAAATAACCCATCAGTTTACCCAAGCAATCCATCAGTTTACCCCAACAAAGCATCAGTTTACCCAAGCAGCCCATCCACATACCCTAATAATCAATCAAGTTACCCAAGCAAACCCTCAGGTTATTCCTCTGAGAAACCAAGTTATCAAGTGACGCAGCCTGCATATCCAGTCCGACCAGTCTATTAAAAGCAGAAACTTTATGCAAAATAATGTATGTGAGTATTGCAAATTGTTTTAGTTTTAAGTCTGTTATTGTTCAGAATGCTCAGTTCACACGATCAAATTTTCGTCAAATTTTCGTTTACCCAATTTGTCGTCAAAATTTCATTTTGTAATGCTCTATGTTGTGACACAAAATAGTGCGTTCAAAAAGAAATGTTGACGAAAATTTAGACAGAAATTAAATAGGGACATTTAAACTGAGAAACAGGTTTGCTTAATTTGAAATAAATAATAATAATAACTACCTATATATAGAGAGAGAACTTCGCCTTGTGATGGTAGACATGCTGCGCTTCCCGATAATTGGGTAGAAATAGTAAAAAATTGTGATGATAATCATTTCAATTCGTGGGTCAAATTTTACTTTGAAACACATGGGGAAAAAAACGTTTTACTTACAATTATAATAAGTGGTTTAACTGAATTTATTTGAAAATCAAATTATGATGGACGATTAAACAAAACAAAAATTGCTGAACACACCAAGTTATTCAAGAGCATCCTCATTCTCAATCATTAACCTAATGCTAATGTGTAAATTTTGTCCACAGCTCGGCGAAGCAAGGCCGGGGCAGATCAGCGAAGCAAGGCCACAACACCAGAGCGAAGGAAGTCATTGTTTGGCGAGACTTGTATAAATTAGAAGAAAAAATAAATGATTTTTAAATAATAATCTCATCGCTTGATTATTAGTCTTATTTATTTTTATAAAATATCATAAGTTTTTGTTGTATAGTTGTTGTTGTGTTAGTTTTTGTTGCTTTTTTTAACTGTTTTTTTTTTTTAAAGAGGGGTGGGTGGGTTGAGGAAGCGGCAGCTTTTTCACCTTTGCGGTATTTTGAAATTCTCCAGCTAACAAAATACATATTTGAAATGAAAAATGTGTTTATTAGTTTATTTTTAAAACCATGACCCACAAAATAGACCAACCTTTGGGGATTAGGAGGGGGGTAGGTTGACGGAGGTTGCTTTGCACAAATTAATTATCACAATAGAAATGTTCTTTCATCAAATATATTAAAAAGAACTGTTATTTAGATTGACCTTTAAGAAACTGTAAGAACAGTTCTAAAAAGTTTTAAAGTACTTTAGGGGCCATCCATAAATGACGTCACGCTAATTTTGCCTATTTTTGACCGCATTGCCCCATCGTCACAAATTGTCACAACAAGTTAGAACCTCCCCCCCCCCCCTCTCCCGGCCCATCAAATATAACGTGATAAATTTCTGCACACCCTAAGTTTTAAATGACTTTAGGGGCCATCCATAAATGACGTCACGCTAATTTTGCCTATTTTTGACCCCATTGCCCCATCGTCACAAATTGTCACAACAAGTTAAAACCTCCCCCCCCCCCCTCTCCCGGCCCATCAAATATAACGTGATAAATTTCTGCACACCCGCCCCACCCCCCCCCACCCCGATATAAAAATTCCCTATGTCCACTACTTTCCTTGACAAACCCTAAAGATGCTCACCTCCCACCTCAGATTACTGCTCAGATTACTGCTCAGATTACTGCTCAGATTACTGCTCAGATTACTGCTCAGATTACTGCTCAGATTACTGCTCAGATTACTGCTCAGATTACTGCTCAGATTACTGCTCAGATTACTGCACCTGCGTCAGAAACAGTTCACTAAAACATTTGTTCTTAACCAGGATTAAATGTACCTTCTCACGGGGACGTTATTTTGGGTTAGGGCGGGTGGGGAGTTCCCCCCCCCCCTTCCCCCGGATTTATTAAAATTGATATGCACTGTGGCGCCTCCGGTAATCAACAAATTAACAAACTGACAAAGCCTGAAATGACGTCCCCTGCCTTCCCAGCCCTGGGGTGCGGAAGACGAGAAAATTGTATTTGCTGCCATTGCTAGTTGTTGCTGATATTTTTTTAAAAAAAGAGAGAGATCAGTTTCTGTGCAGTTTAATTAGCAGCATGAATTGTTTTTTCTGGTGAATTTTGTTTGCGCATTACTTGGGTTGGTAATTTTTTTCTCCCTTGTTTATAAAAAGTTAATAGAAATAAAAGTACGATAGCTAAATTATTGAATTATTTTCACATTTTAAGTATTAATACAATATAATGTATACGGTGTGTGTGGCGTAGGAGATATGGTTGAAACGGAGTGGGTCTGCAGTGCTGCAAAAAACGTTAAGAGCCCCTGCACTAGATCATTTACCCTTTCCCACCCCGGTTCAATTATTTTTTTTTTCGATCCATCTCACTTCACGTGGTAGTCCCAATTCTATGACGACCCCCCCTCCCCAACCATATCTCCACATTTGGACATAAATTCTCTCGACCGTCAATGTCACTTCACCCATTTTCTCCTCTTTCATGGCGTCCTGTAACTTGATCAGAGGCCATGTTTCTGACCTCACATACCTGTACTGATTCTCTCAGTGTTCATAGTTTAAAAATAAAATAAGTAGAATTGTTCCTTAAAGGAATAATGTTTAAAAACGTCTGTAATTTAGGGTTGTTATTACGTGCACATCTTTACTATAATATTCCGCTTTTCATGTAACGTCACATTGCTCAAGGCTTCCCCTCCCCCTGGTAGCACATCGTCACAAAAATGTGACCCCTCTCCCCTTAGACGCGTGACGTCATTTATGGATGACCCCTTAGATCAGGCCTGCACAACATGCGGCCAAAGGGCTGCATGCAAGCCCGCCAGCATCTACCTTGCGGCCCGTGAAGTAAAGAAATATTCTTTATTTTTATTAGTTTCTTAATAACTTCACACCCCACCCCCCCCCCCCACCGGGTCCTATTTTCTTTTGGCCAGCATAAATGTTTCATAAAAAAATTATGGTCCGCCTTGCATTTTGAGTTGTGCAGGGCTGCTCTAGATGCATTTGAAGTAAAGAAATATTCTTTTTTTTTATTTGTTTCTTAATAACTTCACACCCCCCCCCCCCCCCCCACCGGGTCCTATTTTCTTTTGGCCAGCATAAATGTTTCATAAAAAAATTATGGTCCGCCTTGCATTTTGAGTTGTGCAGGGCTGCTCTAGATGCATATCAACAAGTATTGGGACAAAAGAAATATGTGAGTAAATGGGAGAATATAAGAAGAAAAAGGTTTAACTGACAATTTATACAGGATGCCTGTTGTGGAGAGTACAGATTTTATTTAGGATGCCTGATTTGGAGAGTACATAATTTATGATGATGATAATTGAGTACTTGTATAGCGCTTGTGTCCATGCTATTTTAACATCCTCACGGCGCTCTGATCTCCTAGAATATATTTAAAGAAAATTCTTTAAATGTTTTTTTAATGACTTTTTATCATTTTCAATGTCCCTCAAAGATTGAGGCAAACTGGTCCACAATTAAGGCGCAATAGCTTCAAAAGCGCGCACTCCGTATGATTTCTTTCTTTATCTATCCACACTGGGAACTCTCAGTAAGGACTGTGTTCAAGAGCGCTGTTTCTGTATGGATAAATGTTAAGAAATCTTTGAGATATTCAGATGCAGAGCCCTCCATACAACTATACACCAGGGACAGAATTTTGTGGTCAATGCGCTCACTCACAGGACGCCAATGGAGATCTTTACGAACTCTGTTGATATGGTCAGATTTCTTTTACGCGATACAATAAGTGCTGCGGTATTTTGTACTTCTGGAGTCTATGAATTTGGTCTTTAGGTAAACCCCACAAACAACTGTTACAGTAATCTAATCTTGACTGGATTAGAGTGACTGCTACAGGCATTGGCTGTTCTCTTATTAAGTTGAGGACGCAGCTGCTCCAGAGCGCGAAGATGACAGAAACAAGCCCTGAACACAGAGCTAAAATTAAGAACCATATTAAGTTTGCTGTCAGTATAAAGCCAAGGTCTCTAACCGTGTTGGACAAGGGGATCTCAGAAGCACCAACTTTTATAGATGCGATAGTTACCTTCCGAATATTGGCTTCAGAACCACATATAATTACAGAATGCCTGATGTGGACTGTGCACAAGTTAAGCAGGATGCCTGATATGGAGAGTACACATTTTTTGCAGGATGCCTGATGTGGAGAGTTCACAATTTTTGCAGGATGCCTCATGTGAAAAGTGCACAATTTATGCAGGATGCCTGATGTGGAGAGTGCACTTTTTTGCAGGATGTTTAATGTGGAGAGGGCACAATTTTTGCAAGAAGCCTGATGTGGAGAGTGCACAAATTATGCAGGATGCCTGTTGTAGAGAGTGCACAATTTATGCAAGATGCCTTATGTGGAGAGTGCACAATTTTTGTTGGGTGCCTGATGTGGAGAATGCACAATTTATGCAGGATGCCGATGTGGAGAATGCACAATTTATGCAGGATGCCTAATATGGAAAGTGCAACATTTTTGCAGGATGCCTGTTGTGGAGAGCGCACAATTTTTGTTGGGTGCCTGCTGTGGAGAGCACACAATTTATGCAGGATGCCTGACGTGGAGATCGCACAATTTATGCAGGATGCCTGACGTGGAGATCGCACAATTTATGCAGGATGCCTGATGTGGAGAGTGCACAATTTTTGTTGGGTGCCTGATGTGGAGAGTGCACAATTTATGCAGGATTCCTGATGTGGAGAGTGCACAATTTATGCAGGATACCTGTTGAGAGTGCACAATTTATGCAGGATGCCTGATGTGGAAAGTGCACAATTTATGCAGGATGCCTGAAATGGAGAGTGCACATGTTTAAAGAGTTGTTTGTGTGGGGGGGGGGGATCTTTTTTTGTTTGCCACGTGAGGCAGTGCCATCTTAAGGCATGGGCATACTTGGCACCATCCCATGGTCTAAGGCCTCTAGGGGGACTTATGTCTCTAGGGGACCTCATGCTTCTATGGGCATTGTGCTGTCAATATTGCTAATGAACATTGTATTATTTTTAGACACTTTTTGTTTTTCTTTCAGAAAATAGCGGGAAACCCCGTTTCTCCTGATTTGTTTGATTTTTTTGTTGGTTGTTGTTTTGTATTTTTAATTTTTCCATTTCACATCAATTCAATTGTTGCTACTAGTTTTTTTTTAGAAAACAGTCCTTCTGATAAATTGTTGCTTTTTTTTTGTTTTTTGTTTTTGGGGGGGGGGGGGAGGTAAAACAAAGAGTCTTACAGCGGACGCTTTAATTTCATTAATTAGTCATTTACATTTAGAGAGTTATAGTAGTTAGAGATTCCAAACAAATCTTTTAAATTGCTGCGTTTGTTTGGAAATCCATCATCTTCCCACAGATAAATCATACGTTAATATTGGACGCCTTTTATACATAGTTCCTTTTTTTTTTTTTTTTTTTTTT